GGTGAAGTTTTCTGAAAGTAAATTTGGATTTAAATTCAGTTGGAGGTGGACCTAATATAAAAGGTTGTTCCATTGGTTTCAGACTAGCTAGCCTCTGCTGTTCATTAATTCTCATTCCCATTTTCATCCCTGCATAATACTCCTCATGGATTTTTGCCAATCTAAAAGCATGAGTTAGATTTTGTGGGTTTAACATTCGGATGGGTAGACAAAATTCGTCTTTCAATCCACTAAGAAAACAACTCAACCTATGATTATCCAATAATCCCCTAAGGCAATTTGAAATAGATTCAAACTAGGCTTTGTATTGCGCCATTGTGGTGGTTTGTTTCAAGTTTGTCAATACTTCCATGGGGATCATCGTAAGGCGTATTACCAAAAGGAACAAGTAGAGCCCTCACAAAAGCATCCCAACTAGGGATGTTAGCTGAGCTGAGCCGCTCGTGAGCGGCTTGGACTCGACTCGGCTCAATAGGCGAGCTAAGTTCGAACTCTCCAATACTCAGCTAGCCAAGCTCGCTATCCGAGCTGAGCTCTACATATAATATATTATAAATTTTATATCCCTAGATAAAATAGAGAAACATGGTAAAGAATAAGGTGTAGCATTCTCCGTGAAAAATATCAAAAGATGGGGGGACCCAGAATTGAAAAGTAAAAGTCTCCCTTTTTCTTTTCTCTCTTTTGTCTCCTCTCTTCTTCATCTTTCTCTAGACCTAGAATTGAAAAGTAAGATTCTCCCCTTGTCTTTTCTCTCTCTTGTCCCCCTTCTTATTCATCTTTCTCCAGTTTTCCTCCTTTCTTTCTTTCTTTTTCTTTTTTCTCCTTTTTCTTCCTTTCTTTTTTGTTTCCTCTCCCGTCATTCTTTCTTCTCTCATTTTTCTCCCTTTTTCATTTTTTTTTTCTTGGTTTACCATGGCTGCCATGCCTAGCTATCATATTTTATTTTAGATTTTCTTGACCAGCTCAAGCTCAAAAGCTTGATTAACCAATCTCGAGTATCCCTTTAAGTTATTGAGTTCAAGTTCGAACTCTATTCCTCAGACTCGACCAGGCTCGAGCTCAAATTTGAACTTGGTACTATAGCATTCGAGTAGAGTTCGAGTAGTCAGATACTCAACTTGGCTCGGCTCTACTTAACTTGATTTCACCCCTAATCCCAACTGATAAAAATTCCATTTTCCTCAACGTCTTGAAACCACATTAATTAGGGGTGTGGCAAAGAACCGATTGGAATCGGAACCAACGAATACTAGGGTTTGGTTCTAGTTCTTACACGGAATCGACCGTCATAGGGTAGGTTCCAGTTCCAAAAATCTGGAACTGGCATTGTGCGGTTCCAAGACTGATATGAAATAACATTAGAGAATGGGGGGTTCTTGTAATTTTGTTGTCATATAAAAAATTCAATCAGATTTTAGGGAAAAAAATTTCCATCGTTTCTCTTCGTCCTTGTTGCTCTCGCTCAGTTGAAAAACTTGACATTGTTGAATCTCCAATGCTGCCAATTTGAATCATCGAACACTATTCTCCCACCATCTAGTCTTTTCATCATCTCCAATTAGGTATTTTCAAAATTTAAAATCTTTTTGAGTTAGGGTTTTCTATTTCAATTTCAATTTCAATTATAAATCTTTTTGATTTAGGGTTTTCAATTTTAACATAATTTTGTTCTAACATTAGATTACTCTAAATTGCTAATATGCTTCGATTTAGTTAGTGACATTAGAGGAGCAGTTGAAGAAAATTGAACAAGACAATGGCTTGACTCGATCTTCTTCTTTCACTAAGTTACAGCTAAGATTTTATCCCTTATCATTGTAGCGTATATTTCTTCTAAAAATCATTAGAGGCACCTTACATTATAGGACAATAAGCTAATACTAAATTATTAATATTGAAAATAAGATTTTTATTCCTTGTTGTGTTGCAGTCTGCTTGCCATTGATGTAGTTCGAAGAGTTTAGAGAGCTGAAGTTTGCATGAATTATGGATATAAATAAATGGTGGAATTTAGATATATGCTTTGTATGCGAAGTCCTTTGAAGAGATGAATCAACATATAAAGTGTTTGATAAAATGACTAAGAGAGCAAATGTATTATTGATTAAGTAAAATGATTTCACTAAATGGGGTTGTCTTGACTTGTATATGATGAGATAGAGTTTTTAGTTTAGGGCAGCAAATCCATTTTTGAGTTATACAAAAATAACTTACTTTGCGCAATTGTGTTAGTTGTAGTTTGTTAGAAATATATGGGAAGTGTACTAATATTTATGATACTTGAACTGTTTTTAATATAAAATTACAGCTTTCCAATTATCCGTTAGTGCATGCAATTAATCTACCAATATATTGATGAAATTAAAGAACATGTAATGCAATGAAATATAATATTTGTCTGTTTTGTTGAAGTCAATTATAGCATGCAATAAAATATATGAAATTCGTAAATTATTAAATTAAATAAGACAGGGAGACATTGAAGCACATAGCTCAATGTTCCTTTCATTATTGGTATTGATATGAACACTCAACAAAATATTTGATTATCATTTGTAATCTTAATCCAATTATTATTGGCTCAAGCCTGAAGCTGATATTTTGTATTGTATTATAATCCTGTAAAATATATATTATAGTGATTTTAGGACGTTATAATATCTAAGATTTATTTGAAACCAATGTTTAAAACACTTGAAGTAGGAAAAGCATTGTGACTTACACTGATGAAGAGGCAAGATTACTGCAAAGACAATGAAAACAAGTGCAAAATGAGCTGCCTTCGAGCTCTTTTATATTCATATTTAGTTAATTTATTCCCAAATAATTGTATTCAATATTTTGAACTTACTAATTGACTTTCTTGTATTTATTTTATAGAATTAATGCACATGATGCAAGCAATTTAAAGCATGGAGCATGAGATATTTTTTAATTGATATGCTACTTATTTTATATGTTATGTAATTTCATCATTTTAATTTTGGAGTTTGTAGTTTTGAATTTGTGATGTGAAATTCTTAGTTTCCATAAAGTTGAATTGGAGGTGAAGGTTATATAATGTATTTGTAATTTTATTTTTTGTTAACAGGTGCCAGTTGGGGGGTATTTGTAAGTTTTTAAGGGTTTTTTTTGTCATTTTCAAAATGTAATTTTCTTGGCTACCGAGAACTGGTGTTATAGGTTCTGGTTCCGGTTCCTTCCATACTCGCCCACCCCTGACACTAATGTTTTCTCTTCCATATGATATGATGCTAATAAAATTTTTTGATGGATTGGGACTGTGTGGAAGTGAAAATATTGATTGGTTTTATGATACCATTTTAAGTTGCTATCCCACCTAAAAGCTTAAGCTAGTTGGTGAGGGCTTAACATATATTAGACCAATAGGCCCCCTCACATCAAACTTGAATTTTTTTTTTTTCATTTTCTTTATCTAATTTGTATGTGCGGATTCAAACTTGAGACCTTTGAGTCTGATTCAAATTTTACAAGCCTCACAGAAAATAATAGAGAAGAACACAAATTTAGAAGAAAATGAGCTATATTCGAGAATAGTAGAACTCCTTACAAAAAATAGTTGAGAAGATTACACTTTTTGCCTGCGTTTCATAGCAACTAACTCCTATATTCCCGAAATTGATAGAAAACAAATTAGACAAAAATACAAATAACATAACCGAATGCCAAATGCAATAATGCGTACATTTCTACCCTGCCCTGTCCTTGTACTATCATCACACTTGCCACCATTCTATTGTAGTGGTAAATTAATTTTGTGCCTAACAATTGGGAGAAACAATAGGCTTAAGTAACACACTAGGTGAGTGTGAGATCATGATGTGAGATCCTAACAGAAAAAAGGGAAAAAATGAAAAAATTTTTATCTTCTTCTTTTTCTTCTATCCAACCTCTTTTTTTTACAGTATTTTTTGGTACCCAATTTAATTTTTGGTTGATTTGTGATTGTGTGTTAGATCTAGGGTTTGGTTTGACTTTGATTAGGTTCTGATGTGGTTTGTGTTGCGGTTTTGATTATGTTTGTTGGAATAGAAAAAAAAGATTGATGAAAGGGAAGAAGTGTGTGGAAGAAGAGTGGGGAAGAAAATGAGAAGGGGAGGGGAAAAAAAAAAGAATACTCCCTTTGTTTCATTTTAATTGTCCCTTTTAGAATTTGTTTTGTTTCAAATTATTTGTCACTTTGTAAAGTTGAGGAAACATTAATTACGTTTTTACCAATTTTACCCTTATTTTATACTCAATAGATGTACACATGATCTAGTAGTCAACCACTGTATTTTTTCTAGGTTCAATGAGTTCAAGGTAGTGTTTAATATTCTTTTCCTTTCTAAAATTAATTAATGACAATAGTCCACATATACACTATAAATTCAATTTCCAGAAAAAAACTTACATATCTCCAATAAAAAAAAAAAAAAAAATGGACAAAGGTGAATAGTCCATGTATTTGGATTCTAAACCTTTACTTGATCCTACAATGATGTTTATAGAAAAGAAAAAAGTTGCACAAGGTTTCGACTTGAATGTATCTGCAAATCGTGAGTTTGATTTGAACAAGTTTCCTAATGAAGGAGAAGAAGCTTCTAAGGAAAAGGAATTTAATCAAGTGGTTAGACTTATGTTAAAAGTTTATATTCCTAATTTTATTAAGAGTATCATCTCTGTTCATATGATTGGAGTACAAGAATAGATGTCATTTATTTTTAATATTTTAAGCCTTTCAGTTTGGCTTATAGAAAATTCTACAATTCGTATGTAAAAGATACTCTTCATCTGTAAAACATGCACCGCATCATCATAGGCATAATACTGAAAAAGAAAAACAAATTAAGTAGAGTAAATCTATAGAATTTTAAATGACAAGCAAAAGTACAAATAAGTGGCTACTTAAATAGGCCGGCCACCATGGTAAGCTAAAAACAAATTTAACTTGAATAATTGAGAACTTCTTGTACCAATATAGGATCACATCTCATCTAACTAGGAAGTTGGCCTTCACTTTCCATTTCCAACATTGCTTTCTTAACATGTGGAATTTTATATTTACGGGAACCTTTTGCTCTCATGATTTCTGTCAAGCACATTTGCAATGTTAAAAATATATAGTTAGACATCACTATAGAAAAAGCTTCAAATGAATTCACAACAGCATTAACAAGCTCGTCAACGGTTTTAGGTGACTCTTTATACTGTAAGGATTGAATAGCACTAAAGAATCTGAGATCTAAAACATTCAAATCTGGAGAATTTGCAGGTTGACACATTAAACGAATATCAAATCCATCTTCTGTAGCTAATCGACAAAATTCATCGTTGTTATGATTAATGTGTGTTCTTGTATTGTCTTGTTGAATAAATTTTGGATATTTGAAGTCTTCTCTTGGCCAGTTTGCCTTGATGGCAGGTAGGACTTTTTCAAGTAAGAATGATCTTATAACTTCTCTTTTGACTGAAGTTATTGGTTTTGTTTCTAATGTTCCTGCAACTCTATTAACACTTGTCCTTTTAGTTGGCTCTTGTGTGACAAAAGGAAACACGCCAATTTTTCCAGAGAAAAGTTCATTTCCTTGTGCATCAAACCTTGGATGAGCTAAAGCAACTAAAAACATAACTTTTCCGATAAAAATTTTGCTTTTACATGTGCGTAATGGATCTTCTTCATCTGGTAGCAAGTAGTAATTCTTAGATTTTTTTGGTCATGTAGAACCACTTCTCATCAATATGAACAATGTTATACATCCCCTTAAAAATTGGATCATGCGGTATGCTACTTTCATCAAGCATTGATATGCAAAATTGAAATCGAGATCTTTTATTTTCTTCCTTCAAAATAGGCTTTATAGCATTTGAGTGTCGTCGTATAGCTCCTGACTTCAAACGCCTAAATAATGTGGTCTTGTTCATGTTTATGGAACAAGCTAGAGAGTCGAGTAGTCCATTGACGTAGAGGGATCTTAAGAAATTGAGTTAAGTCAATCTGAATTCTCTTACGACCACAATTTCCTGTCCTTTTATGAGACACATCAACATGCATACCACTGTTTTTTACTTGTCTCCAAATACGATGAACAGTACGCACATAAATCGAAAATACTGATGCCGCCATTGTTGACACCCCTATTTTCAACATGTCTCTATCATTGGACAAAATTTTCAATTTTCTTCTGTCACTTTGTGCTTGTGACGGTTGCACATTACATTTCCATCACTTATATTTTCTCCTATTTGAAAAAAAGTAAAAAAAAAAAAAAAAAAAAAAGAAAGCATATTCTTTATTGGCAGGAAACAAAATTAACAAACAATAAGTTTATCATGGTGGACTTTTCCATAATATTGCATTTGAACTTGCATGTGACGTGCACATTCATGGAAAGAAATAAAATAAGAATGTAACTATATAAGAAATGAAATAAAAATATTCATATCATAAACTAAATAAAATTACAAAAATATAAGAAGAAAATTTGGTACCGGTATTAAAGTGTGTATCATCTTCTACATATGGCTCATTGTTTAAGTCCAAAAATAAATGGCTTGATGAAGATGTTTCAATTGTTGATTTGGATTTTGGACTGAGATTAAGGCTGAGAACAACATTTGCAGCATCAACATTAAGATCTGGCAAATGAATTTGTGACTATTCTTGTAAATCTCCATTATCAACATCAGTATGTGTAAAATCCACATTTAAATCTGTTTCAAGTAAAGGTATTTGGTGGCTTTTCCTTGTAGCCATGTCAATTATATTATTTTAACATTCAACAATTATTACTTCTTTTATAGAACAACTTTTGGTGGGAAATCACAAATATTTGTAATTTTCAGATTGAAATTTTTGGTGGAAAAAGAATCGAAAATTGAAAAAAAAATGAAAAGTATTCCAAGATACGGAGGGAGGGATATAGAGAGAGCGTATTAAGGTATTAATGGAGGGAGAGAATGTTTTTGACTTTTGAGTAATTTAATAAAAGGGAAATTTAGTCATATGTACTAATTTTTTCCTAAAATTGATAAATTTCTTAATCTGTGTGCATTAGCTAAAAAGGACAATTAAAATAAAACGGAGAGAGTAAAAGCTAAAAAAAAAAAAAAATATATTTTATATTCAATCAGGCAAAATTTTGAAAAGACGATTTTAACCTTCACACTCTAACAGAGTTCAGATAGCGTCACAATTTTGGTACTCGTTTGACGTATTTATGAAACTATGGGGGGTACTTGATGAAAATCTGTATAATTCCTGCAAAGAAAACTTTTTGAAATTGTGGGGGGGAAATGATTTTCTCTCTTAAAAAATTGTATATTAGTTAAAATATTTTAATTTATAATAGTAGAGTATAGTTTCTGGAGGTGATTTTGTTGGCTGATTTTGAACATGTATTGGTATTTAGGCATCATTTTATGCAAAAGTTGTAGGCTTGTAGCAATTGTTATGACAGTTGAGAATTACAATTGATAAAATAAGAGTAAAACAAGATTGGTCAAAATTGATTAGGCTAAAGGTTAGTTTGGGATTGTTGTAGCTTTAAGTTTATTTGGTTTTTCTCCAACTTTGGAATTAATTTTATCGTGTTTGGTAAATGTTACTTTTATAATTGTTGTGATCTTCCAAATATGTGACTCTGTTCGGTATTTTAGATTTTGAAATTGATGTTGTATATGTCTAACTAAAAATGACATTTTATTTCTTAAATATTTTTATAATTCAAAATTTGTATTTTATAAGCATTTAATAAATATTAAAATAATTTAAACTATTAAAACTAATAATGTAGAAAATTGAAAAAAATAGTTGACTGGTCGGCACTGGTCAACAGTAGTCAATTGTCAATCAACCACCGTTGATCGGGGGTCAAAGTTGGTCAAAGGTGGCAAAGAAAGATTTGGTCAACTTCTACGACCAAAAGCGACATAGGAATCTAGTGATTTAATCAGATTTCAATAGATCAGAAGTTTCCGATTCTTATAGGAACGAATGTGGCACCAACGAGCCACTGTTCATCACTGTTGACCGATGGTTGACCACCCTTGATGATGGCAGCAACTAGTCCTATTTCAATTTTTTTAAATTTACAAATAAACTATGAAATTATTTATGTAATAAAACAAATATTTTTAGTTAATTTTGTAATTTTAAATATTATACATGGGTATATTTGTCATTTTACACTATAAAATTAACTTTAGAAATAATCTGATTTTTAAAAGATACTTCATACTTCTACTAGTTTTTGGAATCCTTTTATAAATCTGATTATAAACTTTAGACAGTATTAAAAGTTATTTATCAAACACCTTTTTGTTGTAGTTTAAAACTTAATTGATTATTTATTAAGTTAAAATAATCCCAAATACACTATTAAGATTTTGGTAGAATAATATTCTAAAGCTTTTTTTTTTATGTTGGAAATGTTTTATGTCGTCCTACATGCAATTGTCCGGGTCAATTAATAAACCCACTATGCCCCAAATTAACAATTAAACCACGATTCTTTTAACATTTTTTTTTTTATAATGAATAAGTATAACATTGGATTGCAAAATCTCCTATTGCCATAAATTGAAGCTAGACAATATACATGATTTATTAAGGAAGTAAAGATATTAAATTCATGTATTCAAATTCCCAAACTATTAAACTCCTAACATTAAAATTTTAATAGTTTTAGAACAATAATATTTCAATATTGTTGTGGTATTATTAATTTTAATGTACGAGCAATGTATGTGTGGAATGAAATTTTTCTACGATGAATTATTTCAAAAGCAACTTTACAAATAAAGTAATATATTGTCCTCAAATACATATTCAAAAGGGAAGCTATATTTTTGCTAGAAATTGAGTAGTGATTTTCAAATAGTATATGGATGTTACTCCAACTATGCGTTGATCAATATAGTTCTATAATAATGGAGTGATATTAGACCCACCCTTAGGCAGTTCAAGTGGTAAGATGAGTCTTGATATATGTTGTTAAGGCACACGGTCTCAAGTTTAAATTCTCTTGATCTTAAGATTTAAGCAAGTGATCATAGCTCGGATATTCTTTTTTTCAAAAAAAAAAAAAAAAAGAAAGAAGTGATATTAGATCTTATCAAACATGAAAGAACAATGGAATATAGATTTGTTATGGTTATGTGACAAATTTTTCTACTATGTATGGTAATTAACAATTAAAATATACTAAGAAAGATTGTACAACCCACTCAAGAACATACCACATACAACGCACAAATACTAATTAATATAGAGACGAGATAAGCCAAAAATCTAACCCCAAGAATACTGGGTACGTTTATATATACAAGAGTTCTCTCAAGCACTCTTCTATCCTATTATGATGAAGAAACTCTATTCACTCCTAAAAGCTAATTCCTATTGTCACGGGCTAAGAGTTTCACACCCAAAAGGCTAACCTGTTAGGTGGAGGGACTCCTCCCATTTATAAGCCCAAGACCTCCCTAATACGCTTTCAATGTGGGATTTGTTACATTCTCTCCCACCCAATCCTGTGACGCCCTCGTCACAGGTGAGGCCCCCTGCCTGCCCATCCACCTCACTCTCGTGTGGACCCACAATCACACGTGGACACCCCTGCGTGGACGTTTGGTGGGACATCGAAAGACGGATTGGGTCTGCTCCGATAACACTTGTCACGGGCTAGGAGTTTCACACCCAAAAGGCTAACCTGTTAGGTGGAGGGACTCCTCCCATTTATAAGCCCAAGACCTCCCCAATACGCTTTCAATGTGGGATTTGTTATACTATGCATGATTAGATTCCTTTATATTTGTGCGCTCACAAAGTCACCTCTAAGACCTTGCCTCTTTACTTCCATGCGTGCCTCTTGAAGCTAAGCTCTCTATTACAATTCGCACACATTCTACATCTTGAGAATACAATTCATCCACGTTTGACATCTACAACACCACTTTATCGAGTAAATAGCTTTCCTATTCCATGTAGAAGTCACTTTCTTCTTTTTATTGTATTCTTATTCCAAAACAACTCGATAAGGAAATACAATCTTAAACATAACAGGAAATATACCATAGAAAATAATTCCACTAAAATTATAAGGCCTTGGGTTTAAGGGTTTGTGGAGAACATCAATTCCTAACAATTACTGGCGTGAATTATCCGTTGTTAATTAGAAATTAAGCTTATTTCAGTGGCACCAAATAAATGATTCATCCGACTCAAATCACATCAATGCTGCATTTGCCTTTTTTCAGAGGCAAAACATGGCAACATTCCTATTGACGTAGTCTTTGATGTTACATTTGCTTTTTGAGGTTAAGGTTATTGTAAGCTTTCGTGTCCAATGCACAACAACATGTCTAGTTTGATATATTTGAGTCATTCATACCTCTATCTGAAAACTTTCATCAAACTACATCTTTTTAACAAGTTATTATCTACAAAACTTATAAGATGTAGGCATATTTTCGTAAGTTTATAATAAGGATTATATAGTGCACTATAAATAAGACACTGAAAGTTCTCAATTGGAGATGATCAAACCTTTTATTTTATATGTTTGTTACTCACTCTAAACCCTTCCAAACATACAGTTTTTATACCACTGGAGGTAATTTATAAGAATAC